GGTATTATAATAGGATTACCCATGACATTATAATAGGATTGCCCATAACATTATAATAGAATTATCAATGCATTTATAATAGGATTACCAATTATATTATCATAGGATTACCAATGATATTATAGGATTACCCATGACATTATAATAGGATTATCAATGATATTATAATAGGATTACCCATAACATTATAATAGGATTACCTATGACATTATAATCCCCACGTGACTGAAAGGGTGAGTATTTTCGGTGACATGTTTCAATCCCGTGACCTGCAGATTGCACGTCCAATGCCCGGGGCTGATTTAAAAGATAAAGAATACAAAATGTACTATATTTTTCTTTCTTCCCGAAAAAATAGTTAAAGAAAACTTTTAATGACACAATTCTATTTAATACACACTTGGAGAAAAATTCCTGGTAATTTAAAAGTAAAACAATATACTTTGGGTGTCTAAATCGTGGTATATTATGAAATAAGAACTCAAGATAAATAGAACCTCAGCTGTATATGAAACTACAGTCCTACAAATGTTACATACAACAACTTAAAATTAAAGAATCAACTCATAACTAATTCAGAGGATGCTTTATGTCTGGGTTTCTCTGACTGATATTTTTTAGCTAATTCTATTGTATATGATAAAAAATAAAACAAAATGTTATCCCGCTCATAGGGTCGGGACTAACGAGATTATGGGATGTTGTGCTATTGGAAGCGGTTGTATTGGCCTCGGACGTGATCACTGGATAGAAATGATCGAAAATCCTCGTAAGCCCGTTGCTCAGTGGTACCCTCTAGCGGAGAATATGCAAGGCTATCAAGAAGTGGAATAATCAAGTTCATCAACATGGGATGAGCGCTAGGTGGAGTAGAATGTCAAGGATGAACGCTAGGTGGAGTGGAATGTCAACAGAATAATCTGAAAATGTCGTAGTAGGATAGAGATCGAGTTTGATTCTTGTCTCTGTTTGTGAAGTTGTTTGTTACAGTTTGTACAGTTTGTTCGTGTCTTTTTCAAAGATGCATTCAAACTTGTACCAGAAAAATGGCAACCAATCTTTTTGAACATGTTAATCGTATCATCTAAAATTCATCACGATTGTTGCTTCTGAGTTTGAAAGTATTCGAAACATTTTTTATATGATTAAGTTCTTAGGATCAAAGGTAATCTAACTTCAAATATCATAATTAAAATAACTTACGGGAAATGTATACATTAATAAAGGTGACACTGTAGAACAAGCAAGAAAAATATATCCATATAAATCAGCACAATAGAAAACTAAAACCCGTGAGCTCTTACAAATCAGCACAACAGAAAACTAAAACCCGTTAACTCTTATAAATCAGAGTTTTCTGTTGTACTGAAAACCCGTGAGCTCTTACAAATGAGCACAACAGAAAACTAAAACCTGTTAACTCTAATAAATCAGCACAACAGAAAACTAAAACCTGTTAACTCTAATAAATCAGCACAACAGAAAACTAAAACCCGTTAACTCTTATAAATCAGCACAACAGGAAACTAAAACCCGTTAAACTCTTTACTTTCTGTGGTCTTTAAGATGAAAAATGGTAAAACTTACTTAAGTATCTAATTTTTTATTTTATTTTTTAAGTTTCAGTGCTGACGGAAGAACGGGAACCATTTTCAAGAAAAACTACAAACAGCATCAGGTAAACGTGTTTTTTATTCTACCTCACGTTTCGCCTATACCTTTATCTTGGGACGTTACAGGTTTCAAAACTGATTTTAAATTTCAAAATTTTGCGAGACCCTCGAAAAAGGCATAAACCGAAACGTCGAGTATAATTTAAAAACGTTTATCTGAGTTGTTTGTCGTCTTACTTGAAAATCGTATCTGATGTTGTTTGTAGTTCTATTTTGTTCACAATATTAGGCCTAAGAAATGTAACAAATCACGTTATAAGACAGGTATGTTTTTCCACATTCCACTTCCGAGTGCAAAATGTTTAAAAATGGCGTGTCAAGTAAACATTTGGCTGTATAATCTAACTCAGTGAAAAATGATGGTGTTTAACGAATGGCCTCATGGACAGTGGCTTGTCGCAAACAAAATATAAATCTGAGTTCCAATCAGTGGTATGATAAATGCTTAAGATCGACCATAATTTTGCTAAAATTTTATTAGTGATTTTATAAAATGAACATGTTTGCTTAAATTGTTTTTTTCTAATTCATTTGTGAAAAAATAAATAATGCAAAGACAATTTAATAGCTATGAGCAACATAATACATGTAAACTACATGCAACAATTTGTTATGTTCCCGTACTCTACACAACCTTTAGGAATAAGTTGGTTGCTATGAACAACGTAATACATGTAACCTACATGCAACAATTTGTTATATTCCTGTACTCTACACAACCTTTAGGAATAAGTTGGTTGCTATGAACAACGTAATACATGTAGCCTACATGCAACAATTTGTTATATTCCTGTACTCTACACAATCGTTAGGAATAAGTTGTAACTACGTATCTCTTTATATTTATAAATAATCTAGTCAGCTCTATGA